TTTACTTACCATTAATACTAACGTAATCTGGCAAAAACAAAAAAATTTTTTTTGTTGTTTTTAAAAGGACATGGCTGGTACTTTTCAACCCATGAGAATATACCTCCTGCTTTTTAAAATTCTTTATGAGAAAATTCATGTTGACCTACGTAGATTTCAGCAACCCACCACTTTTCAGGAACCTAATTGTGTAAGAAATGAAAGTGAACCTGGAGCCTCACCTGGCACCGGGTATATAGCAGGTGCTCAACTAATGCTCGTGGAATGAAGGAAGGACAGAATCAATCTCTTTATTCCTGGCCCCCAGGTGTCCATCCCCTGACCAGGGCCTAATGTGCCTGGGAAGATAGGTGGAGTTCACTGCCAGGCAGGGTGCAGAGCTCAGGAATCTGGGATGGTGGACTCTGCCCAAGCCCCACTCTTAGCCCTAATGATCCCAGCTTTGGGGGAGGTTCATTGTCCTGGGTTAAGGCACAGTCCCTGGGATACACAATTACTGACAATCGGAATGCACCAGCCGGCAGGTGCCAACACACTAACTGGAAAAAGGGACCTATGAATCCATCCTCTTGTTTAAACTTCTTCATCTTAGCCCCACGAGCAAGGTGCCGAGACAAGAAGAAATGAGGCAACATTAGGAGCCAGGAGGCCGGGCTGGGCTGTGGGACCAAATCACTTCCCCTCTCTGGCCTCAGTTTCCTTACTGATAAAATGGGGGGGGGGGATGCACAAGTTGATTTCAACAGCCCCTCCCAGTCCAGTTATGGGGCACAGGGCTCATCGTGGAGCAAAGCCAATGGGATGGAACAGTCTCAGGGAGAGATGAAAGGAGCCAAGAATTTTCCTACTGAACCTTTCCCCCCCACCCCAGACCACCTGCCTGGCCCCTTCCAGTGTGAGATTGTCTCAATGCTACATAGAGGGCAGATTAAGGGCCCTAGATGACACCAAGCCAGGGGTTTCCCTGCTCCTGAACAGCCATATCTTTGAGTTCCAAAGTCTGAGAATCTTATCAACTTCTGTACTGTGACTCAAGGTGGCCCAGGCTCAAAGCAGGGGGATTTCCTGACCTGCTAGGGGCAAGCAGCAGCGGTGGCTTCCTCCTTCAGAGAAAGATGATGTGAATCCAAGACGTTTTCTTTTTGATTATGGGAAAACACTCCCCCGACCCCCCGCCTTCTCCCCAAACCATGCCCGGGACATTTGCAAGGGCAGAGGCTCTGCCTCCCTCTCGAGAGGCCCCAGCCTGTACTTGGGGGTCAGGGAGCAGGGCAAAGAAGCTGAACAAATAGGATAGAAGCACTTCTGTGCTTCAGAGTGCCTTTTGGTTTATAGAGTTTTTTCAGCTAGCACTTATTAAGTGCTCCTTACCTAACAGGCACATACCAAGCACTTCACAAATACTCTCCTCCTGAAGCTTTCTGACAAGCCTGTGAGGTCAGGTCAGCAGTAGCATCTCCATTTTAAAGATGGGAAACCGGAGGCTCCACAAAGGCAACTTGCCCAAGGTCACACAGAAAATCAGGGGAAGAGATAAGATTTGAACCCGGGACTGACTGACCACCATACTCTTATCCTTATCCTCCTCTCCCTTCCCACTCTCCCTCCTAGCCATCAGAACTCCTTCCCAGCTCAGATCCAATCTCCTCCAGGAAGCCTCCACGGCTGCCCTTTCTGCCAGGGCCACTCCTGGTCCTAAGTGGGCCTTGTCCTGAACCGTCCGGCTTCCTTTCCTGTGCACAGGGTCTGTGTCTCTAAAGAAACATCCATAATATGAGTTCTGTGGCAGTGTCTCTTCCCTCTCCCTCTAGTGCCAAGCCCAGGGCTGGACACAGTAGGTGCTCAATTAACATTTTAATGTCCTGCTGAGGCCCAAGGCCCTAAAAGGTCTCAACCCCATGTTAGGTGGGCCGGATAGGCGCTCCGGGGCTTTCTGAGTGTAAACTACAGGGGGCCAGGGTGGGCTCATATCCTCATACCTTCCGTGATGCTCCCCCCATTCTCTTTCCTTTTTGTCCCTTTAATCTTTTTGTTTTTTAGAATATGTTAATTTTATTTTTTAATTGTGATTTAGATGAAAGTTTACAAAGCAAATTAGTTTCTCATTAAATAGTTAATATACAAATTATTTTATGACATTGGTTGCCAACCCCACTGTGTCAATGCTCTCCCCTTCTCCGCCCTAAGTTCCCTATTTCCATTCGTCCAGTTCTCCTGTCCCTTCCGGCCTTCTCGTCTTCGCTTCTGCGCTGGTGTTCCCATTAGTCTTGTATACACGACTGAACTATGAAATACGTCCCTCATGTGTGTTATTGTTGGCCCTATAGACTTGTCTAATCTTTGGCTGAAGGGTGAACCTCAGGAGTGACTTCAGTACTGAGTTAAAGGCGTCCGGGGATTATCTCTTTAATCTTTTTTTCACACTGTGAAGGTTAAGGTTATGTGTCAACTTGGCTAGGCGATGATTCTCAGTGGTTTGGCAGATATTATGTAATCATCCTCCATTTTGTGAACTAATGTGAGCAGCCAATCAGTTGAAAGGGGATTTCCTTGGGGGCATGGTTTACATCCAATATATATGGATGTTCTGGCAGAGCTCACTCTCTCTTGATCCAGCATCTGACTTGTCGTCCTCTGACCTCTGGTTCTTGCGACGTGAGCCAGCAGCCTGCTGTCTGACCTGCCAATTTTGGGTTCGTCAGTCCCTGCAACCACGTGAGTCAGGAGAGGCCTTCAGCCTGATCTCTGACCCATGGATTTGGGACTTGCCAGCCTCCACAACTGCGTGAGCCATTTCCTTGAAATAAATCTCTCTATATACATATTTGTATATATATGTATATGCTTCACTGGTTTTGCTCCTCTAGAGAACCGAGCATAAGCCATTTCCTTGAAATACATGTATGTAGGTAGGTGGGCAGACAGAAAGAGAGAGACAGAGAATGATAGAAAAACCTATTGCCATCAAGTTGATTCCTACTCATAGTGACCCTATAGGACAGAGTAGAACTGCCGCATAAGGTTTCCATGGAGTGGCTGGTGGATTCGAACTGCTGACCTTTTGGTTAGCAGTCATAGCTCTTAACCACTGCACCACACCAGGGCTCCATACAGATATATATATAGATAGATATATGCTTCACTGGTTTTGCTTCTGTAGGGAACCCAGCCTAAGACACACATACACTTTTCCCCTCAACACTTTGAGTCCTCCTTGCCACCTAGCTTCTCCTCTCCCCTTACACCTCCTCTCCCTTCTTGTCCTGAACACTCTCCTTTTCCTCATCCATTTTTTCTATCTACTCAGTTATCTTTTTCTTCATTTTTCTTTCCCCGCCCCCACCCAGAGCAAACCCTCAGAGGCTGAGCCATTTGGGTGGGGGAGCTCAGACGTCTCTCAACTCAGCTGGGGCTACTTCCTGTATACAAAGGGAAAGTTGGTGTGGTCAACCCTGTGGGGATTCACTCACCAAGGTGAGGCCACTGTTATCCAATATGGTACCTTCATGAATTAGAAAAGGTACCCACTCTTGGTGGACTGGAGCTCCCAGCTTGGAGAACCTGGCCTGGCTGGATTTCCCGCTCCTCTACCCCCTGTGCAGTGCACAGACCCCACAACTGTATGTACCAGGGTTTCCTGTGTCCTTAGCCCTGAGAGTGGTGAGTTCTCGGGTTCCAGTAGTGATACTGGGGAATTTCTGTGCCTTAGGGTTTAGACTGAGACAGGCCTAAGCTGGAATCCCAGTCGTGTTATTTACAGTTGTGTGACTGTGGGCAAGTTCCAGAATCTTCTTCAAGCCTCCGTATTCTCACCTGTGGAATGGGAGTGGCAACACTTACCTGGCATAGCCATCTGGAGAAAGGATGAGAAAAATCCTTAGCACAGTGCCCAGCACAGTGGAAGTTAGATATCATCCACCAGGGCAGGAAGTGGGACTGGAGTCCCTGTCTGCTGCTTCTGTTCTCCCTATCTCACTCTGAGATTTTCCTGAGCCATTTTCTGACAACGCCCCCTTTATCATCCTCCATCCTTATCCCAGGGATGGAATACCCAATAAGCAAGGTACACACAGGCTTACCTGTGCTTACTTACTGATCTGTAGCGCACAATTTCACCTGTTTTTCACCACATCAAATATTACTAGTTAATCTGCCCCTGCTTATCTCCCTTTTCTCTCCCAGCCAGTGCCCCTCCCCCACTGGATGGACACACAGAAGTAAGGGGGTAAGGAGGGGCTGTGGCCTTAAGCACAAGTGAGGCAGTGTCTTCACCAATGGCTCTCAAACTTGAGCAAGCATCACAATCCCCTGGATGGCTCCTTGAAGCTCAGATTGCCCCCCACCCCCACCCCCACATCCCAGAGCTTCTGTTTCAGCAGGTCTGGGGTGGGGCCATAATTTTGCATTTGGAACAACTTCCCAGGTGACACTGATGCTTTTGGTCCAAGGTCCACATCCTGAGAACCACTGGTTACACAATCACAGACAGTGAAAACGGAGACATTTAACCAAGAATCCAGTCATGTGGGGCTTCTGAAACATCTGTGTAAAGATATAAGGTGCAAGGAAGACAAGGTGGAGGAGGAGGGGGTACTGATCTTCATTGGGTCACAGTCACATGGTCAGCGAAGGACTGAAAACTGAGGGCATGGTGGCTGGGCCAGGTCAAACGAAGACCTCAGGGATAGAGAGGTGGGACCATGGCCTCTGTTTGGGAAGTAACCAGATACACTCAGAGGCTGTAAAAGAAAACTCGATTCTGGAGAGGCATCTCAGATCTGCCCATTCAAAGTGGCTGTGCCTCACTTTCCCCATCTTTAAACCTCAGAGGGTAGGTGTGTAAATTAAATGAGATAAAATGTATGTAGGGCCCTTAGCACAATGCCTTGCACATAGTAAGCACTTAAGAAACGTCAACTATCATTATCATTACCATCATTATTACTAAGATTGACAAAGCACTAATCCTTTCTTGCTCTTTCATACATCAGCCTCCTGAGGGTGTGTTTTTATAAGCATGCCCCTTTTACAGAAGAGGAAAGTTGAGGCTCAGTGAAGGACCTCACTTCCTTCAGAGAAAATTGAAGGGAATTGGGCAGGATGCCCTCTCAGTGCCCGGCTCCCTCTCCCAAGTTGGATGTGTACCAAGGCGTAGGGTGGGCAGAAAGTCCACTCCCTGTGCTCCCATTTAACCCCAGGGCTGCCCTACTCAAAGGACAATGCCACCCCATCCTGGAGGTGAGGGCCTCTCCAGCTCTCAGTCCTCCTAGGTCCCCAGGCAGCTGTGAGGCCCCATGACTACAGCTATGATCCCATGAGTACAAAATCTGGCTGAGGATTCCTGCTGCCCCAGGAGGAGAGAAGAGGCTGCCACACGGCTGTCTTCATGGGGACTCAGTTCCTGCAGTGTCAGTGCCAGGCACCTGGAGGAGTCTACCTGCCCCTCACGGAGAGACTTGCAGCATCTCGTCCTTGAAATCCATCCTGTCCTGCCCCTGGTTCTCCAGCTGCTCCAGACAGCTACCCTTGTCCTGGACAATCTTCCCTGGAGTCTTTAGAAATCTGGAATTCAGGCCACAGCTGTAAATTAGCCCCTGCCCCAGCTGCAGGGGGCTCCCAGCTCACCTGGCCACAGACTCAGTTCCCCTTTTCACCTTGGCCCCCAGGCCACTCACCTGAACAGTAGTCTCTGCCCAGGTTCCTTCTTAATGATGTTCAGCTTGTAGTAGTGGCGCAGGGCACGTGACATTTTCTCGTAGGTCATGTTCATCCGGTTCTGGAAGGCAAAGCAGCCCCACGTCACCATCCCTTGAGTTTGGAAGAAGAAAGACAGGAGAAGGCCAGGGGAGAAATAATGTGATGGTCCTCTCACCTCGACTTCAAGGCCTAGCTACACCACTTGGAAGCTGTGTGACCTTGGACAGGTTTCTTTACATCTCTGAGTCTATTTGCCAGCTAATGAGGATAAGAATATCGCCTCACAGCTCTGCAGTAAGGATTACATTAGTTAATCCATGAAAGTACTTAGCTACAGTGCCCAGCATGTAATAAGTGCTCACTGAATGGAATTGCTGCTTTCTGGGCCTCAGTTCCTCCCACTCCCGCATACTAAAAAGAGATTGGACCGAATTAGTACTTCCCAAACTGCAGTAATCTGCATCTTTCCGGCCACCACCACTACTAAGAGGCAACATAATAAATGGAGCACAGAGCCAGGCAGCCTGGGTTCAAATCCCTACTCTGCCACTTACTGGCTGCAACCATTGGGCAAGTTGTCAAACCTCTCTGTGCCTCAGTTTCTACATCTGAAAATACCTACCTCACTAAGCTACTGAGAGGATTAAATGAGTTCATATAGGCAGAACCCTCAGAGCAGTGCCGGGCAATCAAATGCTAGACGTTTTTAGAAATCCTATATGTTGCTGATTATCATTATTGTTCTTAATAGTTTTCTTTAAAAGACTCATTTTTTTTACATAAATAAACATATTTACAGTGAAACATGTGAGAGCCAGAACCTGTGTAAGGTAGAAACCTGTCAGAGAAGGAAAACTCAAATATTTTCCACTAAGAGAGAGCAATAGAAGAATGGCAAGACTGCACCCTGTCAAAGGCAGAAAACTCGCGAGACCCAGAAAAACAAGGCAGACCTGCGGAGTTCTGGCTCTCACAAGTTACACTGTATAAAAAAGGACATTTTCCTTATAACACCATCGAAAATCATGAGATTAACATGGTAGTTAAATTTTTAAACCATAATTCTCACGAAAATAAATATTTAATTATTAAAATTTGGGGTAAACCACCTAAACTCACAGACGCCCATTTAGGTATGGACATTCCTCACGCTGGGAATGCTGGCTCAATCATTCCCAGGCCTTTCCAGTCCCAATTCCAATGCGTCTATGGGCCCTGAGACCTGGGTTTCTGCCCCAGCTTCCCCCAGGGAATCAGCTTCTTCATCTGGCCTAACAGCCCCACAGCATACGCTGCACAATTCATACAAATGTGCTTCAAAAGGCTCAAATGGTAAGTAAAAGTGGGATTAAGCAGTTAGAAGGCAAGATTTCTGAGTTCCACCTACATTCCCCATCCACAAGAGGTAACTGCAGGCTCCTCAGTATCTTCCAAAGTAAAATGACCCTAGCACTTTTGGGGCTAGTGGTGAAGCCCTGTCAGCTGAGGACTGTCTTCTAGTGCTGAGCGGTCCACTCTGACCCTCTGCCCCATCCCCTTCTGGAAACGTTGACACTGTCCTGCCTGCTGGAACTGAGGTTTACCTTATGGTTTCCCCAGAGTCTGGCAAGTCCATTTGGATCCACTACGCGAAAGATCTTGGCATCTTTGTCTTCCCACTTGATGTAGGGTTCGTACCTGGTGTCAGAGAGGAGCTGGTACACATAATCCCACAGCAGCCGGCAGTCTGCAATGTAGCACAGGGGGTGAGGACAGGGTGTGTTACTGGCGCTGTGAGGACCGGACAACCTTGAGTCTGGGGCCCTAAGAACATCAGCAGGGTGGTGAAGACAACGGTATTAACAGAAACAGCTGTTTATGGAAGTTCATTACTCACTGTCTCATCGAATCCTCATAACTCTAGGAGGTGGGTACCTTTATCCCCATTTTGTTGTCAGTTGCTGTCGAGTTGATTCTGGTTTATGGCAACCTCATGTGTGCAGAGTAGAACTGCTCCATAGGGTTTACAAGGCTGCGACCTTTTGGAATCAGATCACTAGGCCTTACTTCCAAGGTACCTCTGCGTGGGTTGGAACCACCAACCTTTCGGTTAGTAGTCCAGCACTTAACCATTTGCTGAGCTCCTAAGTGGCAGGCAGGGCAGGGAGTCTAACCCAGCTCCGCCTGATGCCAAGGCTGGGGCACTTTGATCCAAGGGCAATACAAGCACAGACTGCACGGCCGGAGCCCTGCATCCAGGTCCCTCTCTGCCTTCACCCAGTCACTCAGCCACCTAGACCTCTATTAAATCAGGATTGTAACATCCATCCTATCTACGCCCCTGAAGGACAGTGGTAGTTCAGTGGCTGAATTCTCATCCTCCACGCAGGAGACCCGGGTTGGATTCCTGGCCAATGCACCTCACGCACGGCTACCATGCGTCTGTCAGGGGAGGCTTGTGTGTTGCTATGATGCTGAACCATTTCAGTGGAGCTCCCACACTAAGAGTAGGAAGAAAGGCCTGGTGATCTACGTCTGAAAATCCTATGGATCAAAACGATCAGATCCTGTTGTGCATGGGGTCACCAGGAGTTGGGGGCCAACTAGACAGCAGCAGACAACAATAACCATCTACACCCCTGTTGGTGAGGTTCTACAAAATTAAATGCGCCATTATGGAGTGCAAGTGGGCAAAGGGAATCTGCAGCAACTGTGTGAACTTGAATGCTGGTACCTGGACTTCTTGGCTGGGTGATTTAGGGCAAGTCACCCTATCTCTTCCAAGCCACCACTTCCTCATAAGGGTGGTGTAAGTATTGATGACATAATAGACAAAAAAAAAAAAAATTAGCATACTGCCTGGTACAAAGTAAACGCTCAAAGAATGTTAAGTATTATTATTAAAAAGATCAAATTGTTGTATTTTCAGTGATTTCCAGTCTTTTCCAACCTGAAAGCCAGGCTTCTGGTCCTCTACAGTGTCTTAAAATAAACGTGGTAGCCCCACCATGGCTAGAAAACATCCTTCAGAAAGGCAGGCAGCTTATCTGTTAGTCTGTCTCGTTGTCTGTTAGTCCTTTAACGATGACTGTGGAGTGGAGCCAGGCTGCCTGGGTTTACATTCCAGCTCCGCCACTTACTTGCTGTGTGATCTTGGGCAAGTCACTTAACCCCTCTGAGCCTCAGTTTTCTTATCTATGAAATGGGACTAATTATTGTACCAATCTGAAAGGGCTGCTGTGGGGATTCAATAAATTAATTCAGGTAAAGGCCTTAGAACCATGCCTGACACATAGTAAGAACTCAACTATTTAAAAATAAATGGCGTTTAAAAGAAAAGATGGGAGAAAGCCTACTGCATGCCAATCTGAGTGTCTGGCAAAGACTGGAGTCGGCTCAATTTTGCTGAACTGTCCCTGCCCTGGAGACAGGCTGGGCTTGGCTCTCCCTGGCAGCACTGCCACTATAAGCAGTTTATGGCCAGCACACAGGGCTGTCATCCCACCCCCTTACAATAATGTCCCAGGTCAAAACAACCCCCCTGCTTGTCACCCGTGACCCCTGAAGCACTTGGCCTCAGCACACCTGCCTCCTGGCCAGGGAAACACAGCCCCCTACTCACCAGCGATCCTGCCGTCGATGGGAGCCTGTGGCATGGCAGGGAAGGAGCAGACTCCTTCAGGCCTGCAGCTGAGCTCTGCACAGTGAGGCAGGGTGAAGGGCTCCTCCCTGTCAAGGGGCCACCTGGCCAGGCTGGGGACATCCAAGTGGCTCAAGGAGCTGGCAAGCCCCAGGTCTGGTGGTTGCTGCAGGAGGTCCCTCTGGGGGGCCGCCTGAGAGGGCCTGGTCTCCTCTGCAAGCAGATGAGCATGGTTGGTTCTGCAGGTCCAGACCTTCCGTGAGCCCAGGGCCCTACACAACACACCCGGGAGCCCCCTGGGCAGCACTTCTAATGCTCTTTCCTCATCCAGCTGAGCAAGAAGTTCAGGGAGGCAGTGGAGGGCAGTGGGTGAGGGCCAGACACCTGGGTGCTAATTCCGGCTCCCAGTAAAATTGGTCACAAAGCCAGGTCTAGAATCCAGGTGCCCTGTATTCTAGTCCAGTGTCCTCTCTTCTCACCCAAAAAATATTTATTCAGAACTTCGTATGAGGCAGGTTTTGTTCTAATGGGGGATACATCTCTGAACTCAAAAGATTCTCTGCCCTCATATTCTAGTGTGGAGAGACAGATGATTAAAATAAAAAAGGAAATGGAAGGAGTATATAATATGGGTGTGTGGGCAGGGGGGAGGCGGGGATAAAGCACCATAGGCAGATAGGGAATGCTGGGACAGGAGCAGAGGTTGCAATTTTACAGCGCAGCGGTTGGTCAGAGGAGGCCTCACTGACATGGTAACATTTGAACAGAGTCCTGAAGGAGGTAGAAGGGTCAACTATGTGGGAGTCTGGAGAAGAGACGAGAATGCCAGGCAGCAGGAACAGCAAGTGCAAAGGCCCTGAGGCAGGAGTGTCTCTGGCTGGTTCAATGAACAAGGATTCCAATGTGGCTGGAAGAGCATGAGCAAGAGAGACAGCCATGGGAGAGAAGGGCCGAGGGCAGGAGGTCATTGTAAGGACGTGACTTTGACTCCAAGTCAGATGGGAGCCACTGGGAGATTTTGAGCAGAGAAGCGACATGATCTTACTTAAGTTCTAAAAGAATCCCTCTGGCTGTTATGTTGAGAATAGACCATCAGGGGTCAAGGGGAGAAGCAGGAAGACCACTGAGGAGGCTGATATGTTCCTCCAGGCAAGTGGTGATGATGATAGGGGCTGGGCCAGGGTGGCCAACAAGGGAGGTATGAGAAGTGGTTGGATTCTGGATAGATTAAGAAGACAGAGCCAACTGGATTTGCTGACCGTTGGGATGAGGGTGAGAGGGAAAGAGAGGAACAAAGATGACTGCCAATGTTTTGGCCTGAGCAATCGGAAGGATGGAGCTGTCATTTGCTGAGATGGGGAAGACTGAGAGAGGGATACGGTTGAGGTAGGCCTGGAAAGGGCAGGACATCAAATGTTTGATTTAGATATCAGGTCTGCAGTGCCTACGGGACATGCAGTATGGAGTGCGCAAGTCTTGAGTTTAGATAGGTGCGGGCTGGAGACACGCATGTGGAAACCATCAGCACTCCATGAGATCACCCAGGGTCTGAGTACAGATAGGGAAGAGGTCCCTGAGCCTGGAGAACCCCAACATTTACAAGTAAGAGAGAAGAGGAGAAACCAGCAAAGAAGTCTGAGCAGGAGCGGCCGGAGGGGGAAAACCAGGAGGACAGAGTGTCCCGGAAGCCAAGGCAAGGAAGAGTTTCACAGGGAGGGAGAGCGGGCTGACCTTGGGATCAAAGGCTGCCAGAGGTCACAGTAAATAAGGACTGAGAGTGAACATTCCTACGTCCAGGTCCTGGAGACCTTGACAAGAGCCATTTCAGTGGAGCAGTGGGGCTGAAAGCCTGAGGAGAGTGAGTTCAGGAGAGACTAGGAGGAAAGGAAATAAAGACACAAAAGAGACAACTCTTTGCTGAAGAGGAAAGCAGAGAAATGGGGAGACGAGAGGTGGGGTCTCTTAGGAAGAGTTGTCAGGAGCATCCCCAAGGTGAGGAGGTGAGGGCTGAGGAGGCGGGCTGGCAGATGGGCAGCTTGCCCCACACCCACCATCTCTTTAATTACCCTGCTTTGAGGAGCCCCTGCTCTCCCAATGAGGTCAATTTGGGGAAGGTCTCAAAACTCCATAAAAAGCCTCCTCACCTTCCAGGGAGTTAGGGGGCTGCTGCGTGGGCATCTTCTGCCTGAAGATCGCTCCAAAAAAGGGTCTGCACACCAGGGCTCGCCGTTGGGTCTTGATGTACTGGAGCAGCTCGTACAGGACGTCACCTGTACAGGGGACGGCAGGGCAGGCTGCTGACCCGGCTGGATGGGGATGAACAGCCACATCCCCCTGCCCCCTGCAGTCACCTGCCTCTCCGGATGAGGGCTAGGATCCTGATGAAGTTCCTAGGAGGCTGGGGCTGGGCAGGGCCACTGTCACCCCTTTGGTGGATAAATATAAAAGGCATCCCTTCTTCTTGGTGGATACAGCCCCCAGGAGGGCATGCAGCTTGGCGAGATCAGGCTGCATCTCAGCCCCCACAGGCTGAGAGCCTGTGTGCAGTGCACAAACTGTACAAATGTACCTGTCCCTAGGGGGCGGAGACTGTTCTAAGGCTCACTGGATTCCCTAAGCTTTATGAAAGGACTGCCCCTGCGGTCTAAGGAGCAAAACAGTCCCAGACACTTCTTTCCAATGCTTCATCATCTGGAGACAGAACCAGCCTCTTCCTCCAAGTTAGGAATTGGGGGCCCTGTCCCTGGGCCCAGAAATCTCCCTTGACTCACATCTTTGGGCTAAGGTGCTGCTGAGGGGGGAGGAAAGAGGGGAAATCCCTAGACAGAGAGCCATCCTGCAGATCCGGGGCAGTCAGAGGGATAAGAGGTAGGCAGTGGGCCCTTGAGACCGAGGGGGTGCTCGTAGGAAGTAGAAGCAGTGAATATGCGGAGGAAGGGGACCAGCCCCAAGCTCCTCCTTCCCAGCTTTGCCTCTGGCACGACTGTCACGGCTGTAGGGGAAAGCTTGTCTAGAGACAGCTCTCTGCCCTCTGCCTACCTCCACCTCCCACCAGAGCTCTTAAATCTGGGAATTAAGTCCCAACAGTCACTGGAGGAGGCTTATAGGTGAAGTGTGTGATAGAACTTGGGATGTGATATAGGACTGGCCGTGGAAGTGTTTGGAGAAAGGAGGTAAACCAGAATATTCAAGAAAATCTCTGTGTCACATACACCATGGGCTTGCTTAGCCGAAAGAAGGGTGGCATGGAAAACATCAGTGTACAGTATTCTTAAAAAAAAGATACCAAATCAGCAAAAACACTGACAGCTACCTGAAATCAGGCCAACTGTGAAGCAGGTGTGATTCCTGGAAGGCTCTGCTACCGGCTACCACCCACCCTCTTCTTGCCCCACCAAACTCTCTGCTGCCCAAAACACCGTTATTAGAAATTCACGCCTTTAGACTCAGACCTAGTATCTGGTTAAAATAAAAACTCCTATTGGGAGCCCTGGTGGCGCAGTGGTTAGGAGCTCAGCTGCTAACCAAAAGGTCTGCAGTTCGAATCCACCAGCCACTCCTTGGAAACCCTATGGGGCAGTTCTACTCTGTCCTATGGGGTCGCTGTGACTTGGAATCAACTCTACCACAAGGGTTTGTGGGTTTTTTTTTTTTTGGCAGGGGGGAGGCAAGGCTTCAACCTTTATCAGTCATTTATACTTCACTGTGAATGAATATTAAATTTTTCTCTAGTTTGAGGTTTTTTGTTTGTTTTGTTTTTTAGGAGTGGGGGGAGAGGACATGGGAGGCAGTAGGGTGGGAAATGAGAGAGGGGAAACAAGGGCCTCGGGGAAGGGGAAAGGAAAGGGAAGGGGCAGAAGAGGCTCATAGGGCTCTGCAAAAAGCAGACAACTCGACTGCTTTGCACAAGGCCGCTCTGGCTAGGAACCACCAGGCAAAGTTTTATGGGAGAGAGGGGTATCCTGCAACGCTGGGAGGTAAGCATGACACCCCAACAAAGCCTCCTCGATCTCCCTCCCCGCGCCCCCACGGGGCACTTGGGACGCCCTCGCCTATCAGGGTTTCCATCAAAACGTTTTAGATCATGTGACTAGTTTCCCCGACCTGAAGCGGGCGCACGATGCCGGAAGTCGTCCTTGGTGAGGATGCAGAGGGCGCGGCCGTTCATCTCGAAACCGTGCTCACCGGTGCGCCGCAAAGAGTACTCCTGCTCCGCCCAGCGCAGCCAATGCAGCACGTCCTCCCTGCTCCAGAGCGCGGGCTGGATGCCTGGAATCGGCAAGGACGCGGGCTGGAGGCGGGGGGCAGGGGGCTCTTCCCCAGCCAATCTCTCATGGCTCCAATTTGAGGTCCTCATTTACTGTTACCTCCCCAGCACAGCCCACCCTGAACACACCCTTTAAGCAGAAGCCCTGCTCCCGGTCCCTTCGCCCCCGTTTATTTTCTCTGTCACGTGTCCTGTTCTTTGAAATTGCATTTTACATTTGATATAATTATATGTTTATATTTAACACTATATATGTATTATGTATGTATTCATTTCTTTAATTGTTGGTGCTTGACACAGGGCCCCGCATGCATAAAAGCTCTCAACAAATCCCCAAGGAGTCTACTAGCCCAAGAAGCCTCCCTGATCTTGTTCCTGGGATGAGCCTAATAACTGTGACTCCCCTTACCAATTAAACCAAATTAAACCTCCAGGGTCTTCACCTGCAGACCAGCCCATGGCTTCGCCCTCTCTGCAATAATCAACTGTATTTTCACTTCCTTCACATTAATCATCTTTGTCTCTCAAGACTCCAGCCAGATATCACCTTACTCTCCCTGCCCAGGGGCCTGCTAACTGGGGATTTCCAGCTTGGCCAGTTCCCAGCTTCTGGGACAGATCTAGGTAAAGCCCCCAGCTGGGACAGCAGGAGGAGCTGCCTGTCCAGGTCACAGTTGGAGGGATAAGATGTAGGCAGTGGGCACTTGAGACCCAGGGGTGCTCATAGGAAATAGCAGGGTCAGCACCTTTGCACACCCAGAGTAGTGTTGGACATGGGGGCTCCCAGTCCCCTGCCCCTTCCCCAGCTCTATGGCCCCCCACTGCCCTTATCACTGGACAGAGAACTTCTTCATGTAGTCACTGCATCCCCACTGGACTGTTAGCTCCATGAGGCACAGACTTGCCTGTGGCTGTTGTCTCCGCAGCATCTGGAGCATGCTTAATAAACATAAAATGCCTAAAGGAGTGGGCGGAAGCCACACTTGTTAGAATTGTATCTATTAATAAGTTCCTAGGGACTCTCTGAAATATGTGAACTTGAGCAGGGGTAGGTAAATTCCGTTTAGGCTTCCCAAAGGCCCTTTCTCCTTTTTATTAAATAGTTCCAGAGAGTTCCAGAGAGGCGCCAACCCTCCATCTGTGACATATGGATACAGGAGGTGGCGCTGTTATGTCTCCCATGGCTTATTCACAACCAGGATCTCTGAAAGTCAATTTCAAAACACAGAGATGCCTCAATTCCTCTATATCTGACAGTGGGAAGTTCACAGAGCTTTTCTCTGAGGAATAACCCACCACCTCCAGTTGCTATCGCGTCAACTCAGACTCACAGCAACCCCATGTGTGTCACAGCAGAACTGTGTTCTGCAGGGTTTTCAGTGGCTGATTTTTCTCAAGTAGATCTCCAGGTTTTTCTTCTGAAGTACCTCTGGGTGGACTCGAACCTCCAACCTTTTGGTTAGCAGCCGAGTGCGTTAACTATTTGCACAACCCAGGAGGAATAAGTTCCAGGAAAATGAAGAGAGACTCAGGATGGAGAATTAAGAGTCTTGGTTTGAGGCCATCTGGCCAGTAGCATCACAGTTGACTCCCTTGTCCTCATAGAGTCTGTTTCTCTGTCATCGTATGAGGCTATGGAGGTGGCAATCTCTAAACAACTTCCTGTCTTAAAGTTCCCCCAAGTCATCCCTTGAGGATGTGTCCCCTCGTCTCAGACTCACTCCCTGTGACCTCAGCCTGTGTCCTACAAGTGGTCCCCCACCACCACTAGCTGCTGTCATAGCCTTGCAGCTGTGTCCCTTCATAGCTCCTGACTCACCCCAGCCCCAGGCAGACGCTAATGGACATAGACCATGGGGTGAGGGCAAACCCTCTTTCACTGTCCTCTTTCACAGAGCATAGTTGTGAATCTCCTGTTGTGGGGGGGGGGGACACTCTGCCAGAGCCCCTGTAGATCCCACCCCTCCGTCTCAGGCTACCCCCGTCACTTGCCACAACCCTAGACATTACAATCATCCTCAGAGTGGACTTTCTACATCTTTAGTGCGCATCGTGGCTGGACAAGCGAACACAGAAAAGTGAGTGCTACAAGGAAATACCATGTGTGTTCCACTTAGCTCCGACTCACAAAGCTAAGTAAGACTTGTTTTGTTTGTTTATCTTCCTGTTGAGGCAAATCAGCCCCGACTATTAGAATGGAGGCTGGAGGTGGAGGAGGGTGAGGGGTGGGCGACTGGGAATAAATGGCAGAGAGATGCCTAGAAATGTGAGAAATAGAGGGCTGACATCCCCAGCCATGTATTTCTAGGAATTTGTTCATGTCATCTAGGCTATTGTAGGTACTTCTTAATTTTCAAGTTTTAAGCATTCTCTAACTTGGCTTCGCATAATAGAACATGTGCATTCCTGTACACATTTAATGTCAGCAGTCTGCCTATTTGGGATGTCATTGACAGGAAAGTGAGTCATTTAACGTACCCTATCTTTTAAGACTGTTAGATATCTACTAAGGACCAGAGCTGTGTTGTCTGAATATTCTCAGATAAGTATGAGTCATGGGATCTAAGATGATAGGTACAGAGGCCTCCTGCCAGCAGCCAATACCAACTTGCCTGCCATGTGAGTGAGCTACGTCGGAAGTGGACCCTGCAGTCCCCATCAAGCCTTCAGACGTCTGCAGCGCTAGCCAACAGCAACCTCATGAGAGACTTCAGCCAGAACTTCCCGGTCAGCCCACTCCCAAATTTCTGACCCAAAGAAACCCTAACAGATAATAAATCATTGCTGTTGTTTTAAAACACTAAATTTTGGAACGATTTGTCATGCAGCATTAGAACTAACACATCCTGCTCTAGAAGCACATTTCTCATCGTGTGTCGATTCAGAGCACAGGCTCTGGAGCCAGACACCTGGGCTTGTGTCTACAGCCTGCTCCATGGTTATGTGTTTCCTCAGGCAAGAGCTTTATGTAGAAAAATGAAATGAAGGGACATGGCCAATACGTTTCTTGTGGTTATCTTTGGGTGGATTTGGCTCTTCCACATGTTCTTCTTATGCTTCTCTACCATTTCCCAATTTTTGACAATAAGCATATGCTACTTTTGTAACAATAAAAATTAAATATAATTTTTCAATTAAATATAATTATTTTAAAGAGGGCTA